TCTCCACGTTCAGCACGCACGCACGCACACAGATGTTATATTTTGCACCTCATTCTCCACGTTCAGCACGCACGCACGCACGCACACACGCACGCATGCACGCACGTGTACGTGCACACGCACGCACGCACGTTAACGTGCACACGAACGTACGAACGTGTACCTGCACACGCACGCACGCACGCACTTGTATGTTCACACGCACGCACGTGTAAGTTTATACGCACGCACGCACGCACACACACACGCACGCATGCACGCACGTGTACGTGCACACGCACGCACGCAGCACGCACGTGTACGTGCACTACATAAACAGCGCATGTGAATCTGAACATGTGGTCATTCATCTGTAAATGTCAAGCAGCACGCTTCGCTTCTGCCAACCATGACACATAACAAATACACGTGACCTGATCTATGACGTCACGTGAGACACTCCTATATAAGTGACGGCTGCCATCTTGAGGGAACCATGTCATTGACGGTGAGGATGTTTGTCATCTGGTCTCTGCTGTCAGCGCTGGCAGCGCTGGCTCTCAGCAATGCTGCGCCCATGGAACAAGAACAACCGTCGACGTGCCCCCCATGCATCTGCAACGTGACAGCGATGCCACAGTCGGCGTGCACGACACAGCCGCAGACCAGTATAGGTAAGACTTGCCGCTTAATTATATACTCTACTGTATGTAGATATGCGCAAATTAACGCTCTGAACCGTGTACGTAATTAAATTCCGTACTTAACATATTAAAATTGTAACTAAATCGCAGAGACAAAAATGACATCGGCCGAATTTCACTTGCAGTATAAGCTTTCCTGCGAATAACCCAAGTGGTAGCACATTGCTTTTACCGTTTAAAAATCTTGTTAAGCATCGAAAATGGTATATATTGTTTAATTAAAATTAATACATACCTATGGCGACTTCTTGGTTTGAGGCAAACTGCATGCAGCGCCCCCTTCGCACAACGTTCTCGGGATACAATTCTGGATGGTCGGCGTAGTCTTTACCCGGATATCATAGCCATGACATAGATCTTTAGTGTGTCAGTGCATGCGTGTGCGCGTGTGCGTGTTTGTGTGTGTGTGTGTGTGTGTGTGTGTGTGTGTGTGTGTGTGTGTGTGTGTGTGCGTGTGCGCTTGTGCGTATTTGTTCGTATTTGTGTGTGTGTGT